AAATAAAGAGGAAAAACGCGATGCTGTACTTGTCCTGTGCCTGATGTATATGGGCTTGCTGGATGCGGGGCTGTCCCCCCTTCCCGTCACTGCGTACACGGTGATGGTGTAATCGGTTCCAGGCCGCAGGTCCTGAATAGTGGCGGTGGAGTCGGTACCAGGGACGGTGAACTCCTTAGGGACGCTGTTGCTCCCTGGGTCAAACAGGATGACATTAGCAGATGCAGCACACCTGCCAGCTGCTAGCAGATTTACTGGGTGGTAAAGATCAGGCCTGTCTCACCTGCCTCTCCGTGGGTGATCCTGTAGTACCTGACCGTGACGGGGGGGGCAGTCCAACGAATGGTGATGCTGGTGGGGCTGGCTGATGCCACTTCCAGGTCAGTAGGCGAGTCGGAAACTGTGGGGTGAGTGTACAACCACTGCACTAAGCCTCGTGGAAGTATTTTTGGTTCCAAATGTGTATAAATACAAGGTAAAAATGATTTAGTGGAGTTGGTAGGAACGTGAGGAGAAAGAGGGTCATACTGGTAGTCTGGCGACCCGTGAGAGGTAGACTCTCCCGGTTTTGGCTGATGGCATAGATGTTGACGATGTACTCCGTTTCGGGGACCAGGCCCGTCAGTGTGAAGTGGTTCCGGGTGGGCGGCAATCTCTCCTCCTTGGCACGGCCACCGGTAGACATTTGATAGCGGATGCGGTAGCCAGTGAGGACAGCGCGGGGTGCCAGCCAGTGAACGGTGAAAGAGTTGGTGTAAACATCAGAGAAGTCCAGGCCGGTGGGGGAGTCCACAGCTAAAAGGGGGGGTTAGAGATACACCTTCATGCGGCCGCTGCCACACAGCTGCTGCTGATGGATTGACTCTTCCCATATGCTGCAGACTCACCTGTTTTCATGGTGCCTCTGAGAGGGGCGCTCTCTCGCTCCTCGTATATGGCCACCACGTTCACCAGGTACTCAGTATTAGGCAGCAGGTCTGTACAGAGATGGCCAAGCGTCAGTCTTTCACCAGGGAGTCAACATTCACAAACCAAAAAGGCTGATACAGATTTGTCCTTATTTGGTATCTAGAAGTGTTAGGAGGACACAACATTAAATGAGGAGCAGAGCATGCACTTTGGTATCTGCTAGCGAAGAGCCCATACTGCTCAGGATGATCCTGCTGCTATCCCCACGCACACTGCGTTCCGTTATGTCGTCGTAGTTGGTGGCGGGGTAGTAGCGGACAATAAAGCGGGTACGTCCGCTGGGTACAGGGAAGGTTGGGATTGTCCAGGACACCTCAGCGGAGTCAGGGCCCACATTCCTGAAATGGAGGTTTGTGGGTGCAGGAACAGCTGTGACAAAGGAAGGAAGGGACAGTGGAATGATATAAAGCCGGAATTCCATTCACATCGCGTACACCCAAGTATTAAAGAACATACCACCTGAATTAGCGGTTAGTTTTATTATGTTGTCTGATTGTTATATAACATTTTAAATGTTGAAAATAAAGGGTCTTACTACAAAATGACAACACAAGCACTTTCCAACAATGATTACGGAACATAAGCCTATTAAATCTAGGAACAAATGACGTTCTCACAAATTGAAATCATGTGAGCTTGAAATGGGCTCCCTCTTGTCTCCACACTGTGAGATGCAGCCAGGCCCAGGAATGGGTCCTAGGGCCTTAAAGGGTACAGTACTGAAACCTAGAGCTTCATGAATTTCTCCCCCACATCAGGGAAAGTGAACGATTACAATCCGTGTTCAGATGATCAGGCATCAGCAAGGTGGACTTAATTGCTAAGTCAGACTGGCTCACTGGGGGCCAGTATTGGAAGTTATAGCCAGGTCATAACATTTAGCATCTGATGAATGCAGAATTCAGTTTTATTGTGCACGCAACTAACCACCATATAAACCAGTCTGTTCAAAGTAAGTCATAAGTAGAATGACCCAACCAATGAAACTTGACAAACTGACTGAAGTAAACCTAGATTTTGTACATGAACAAACAGGAAACAAAGCAGGCGTCGTTTTTTCATTGAGTATTAGTTAGTCTCAAAGTACTTCAGAAGTATTCAGAAAAGAGGAATGCCACTACACTCCTACTGCCCCACTCAAGGGTGAAAGAGCACATTCACCGGTTTGCTGTCTGAGCGTGATGGGCTTGCTCTGTCCACCCTCGGTGATGGTGCTGATGCTGATGTCATAGTCGATGCCTGGCTCCAGTCCGTACAGGGTGTAATAGCCCGTCGTGGGCTTTGCGATATCCTCAAAAAGGGGGATCGTCTCCCCAGCCGCCAATACTACGATGCGGTAGCCGGTGACGGCGGTGGAGTTAAGCGGACTCCACGTCAGGCTGATTGTCGTGTCGGTGACATCGACAAAGCTGAGGTCAGTTAGCTGGGGCACGTCTAGCGGGTTAGCAGGTGAGTGGGTCAAACATCAGACAGAGACACAAGACACAGAAGCTGTGATGATCACAAATTACACAAGCCCAACAGACAGTCATACTACTGAATTGTCGCAATCACAAAACAATTACAATTTCAACTGGGTTAATGCATCAAGACATTAGAATTACATAAAAATGTTAACAACGGACAGAGCTTATAATTAACAACAGATGGACTGGGGTTCCTTGATTCTTGATTTTTTCAGCCAGCCAGTCACACTGAGGTGCAGAAGGCCTCCAGGTTATTGCATTGCAAGACCACATTGCCGCAAGCCTTGACACAGGGGCGTCTCCCACACAGCATGAGGGCAAGTTAGTGCAAAGTTACAATTATGGCTAATAACACAAACAAGGAGTAAGACGGAGAGAAAGAGTTACACTGTGTTAATTTAGCTTCTAGAAATGGTCAGCGATGGGATCATCAGGGTTCTGCACCACACACATAAGGTGCCAGTTTGAAAGTGACTGGGAGGATACAGGCAATGTTAGGTGATTAAGTGGCCAGATTAAGTATAATCCTAATTAATCTTGTGCTGAAAACAAAGGCCTTGAATATATAAGGTGCTTTCATGTTTAATGTCAACACATTTTAGGATTTTATCATACTCTAATAAACACAGAACAGAAACTAATGAGGATCAAAAGAAACCTTGGAGGAAAAAGGATAAATGAACCGTGCTGGATATCTGGCTGCCTCTCTGTCTGCCTTCGTGGGCAGCCGTTGGGTTAGCACAGAGGGATAGCAGCAGAGCTTAATCTGAGCCAGAGCTCAGCTCCAGGACCTCTGGCTGAGAGAAGTCTGCACTCTGCCTCCTCAAATGCTACACCCAACTGACTAAACCTAAGATGAATTTGGAAATTCATAAAATGGGTTGTGCTGTATGATTTTTCGACATACATCTGCCTAAATTACAATGTTCGTTTTGCCGATCTGACTTTTGGTTTGAAAGGATGAATTTTCCTTCTGGGCAATTAAACTCATCTAATCTAAGTTTGTCCTTCAGTTTGATGTATCTAATAGATGTTGATAGAAAATACTGCATCGTTGTTACGTGTTTCAGTAATCAACAGCGCATTTTCATTGTTAAAGACTGAGGATTAGCACCTGGCTAGGACTCACCTTGGCTGACTATGGTGGACTGGATAGCACAGAGGGTTAGCACCTGGGTAGGACTCACTTTGGTTGACTATGGTGGACTGGATAGCACAGAGGATTAGCACCTGGCTAGGACTGACCTTGGCTGACTATGGTGGACTGGATAGCACAGAGGATTAGCACTTGGCTAGGACTCACCTTGGTTGACTATGGTGGAGACGGGAACACTCTCCTTTTCCTCTTTGATCGTGAAGACGCTGACGTTGTACTGAACGCCGGGGGTTAGGTTTTCCAAGGTGGTGGTGGTTGGGTCTGGCCTCACTAATTCCTCCAGAGAATTCCCACGCTGTCCTTCAGTCGGGGTGCAGGTCACTCGGTATCCTGTGATGTCTAAAAAGATGGAAAGTGGATATTGGGCAAGGAAAGGAGAGAAAGGAGAGGTAATAAAATCCTAAACTAGTTATATTGAAACAGCAAAGCAAGTCAAGTACAAATAGGCACGACAGATATGCTGAATTATGATTGATTGCTTATATTTGACTTATACACAATTACTCATATGTCATACAAGCACAGTATCCCATATTCTAGCTGAGGTTACAGAGTCTCACATTATACCTTCTGTTTCAGATTTACTCCAGGAGACAATGAGCTCATTGGGGTGGGGGCTGAAACGTACATTCAGATTCCTGGGGGGAGATGGGTCTTGGGGCAGAAAGAGAAGAATACAATGGGTCAATCCGCCTAGCAGTCTTGGCTCATTATTGAGCTACACTACATGAAGTATTATGGTGCTATCCACAGACATTAATTTCAAAAGGCATTATACTGTAGATATTCCTCTAAAATTGGTCTTCCAAAGCCCAACCATTACTGGAGCTTTTGTCATCATCTCTTACTTGTGACGACACGGTGTGTGATGGGAGTCCCACGGTCCCTTCCATTAATGACAGGCTGGACACTGTAGGTATACTCTATCCCAGGGGTCAAGCCTGAGATGTAGATGCTGCCAGACTCAGAGGTCACTTCCCTGAGGGCCTCGCCACCCTGACTGGGCCTCACTGACAGCTGAGGTGAATGCAAGTTTGAGAGGAGCTCTTAAAGACAGCCAGCGACCATTAAACTGTGGGTGAGATTCTCGGGTGATTTTACCTTGTAGGCTACTTTGGGCACAGGGGTCCAAGTGATGATGATAGACGTGTCTGTGACATCAGTGTTGAAGTAAGGAACATTTCCCATGGGATGAGCTGTGCAGGGAAAGGAGCAATCTCATGACACAGTGTCAGAGTATCTAGTAGTGTACGGGGAAGCAGAGGATTCTGGGTGACAAATCCAGGCTGTAGAGAGACTCACAGGTGGTAAACATGGCAGTGGTGCCCTCACTGAAGAGGTTGCCCTTTTCAGTCCGCAGGGTAACGGTGTACATCGTGTTGGGCCGCAGGTTCAGCACAGTGTACTGGGACAGATGGGCTGGGAGGTTGTGCTGCCTGACAGGCGAGTCGCCTTCACTGACCACCACGCGATAACCTGTGATTCTGGACTTGGGGACCACCCATATGATCACGGCGCTGTCCTCGGTTACGTTGGTGAAGCGCACGTGCGTCGGGGGTTCTGGCACTGCGGAGACATAGAGAAGCCATCTGATCAGGCTTATAGGGTCTTGGAACAGAAGGAGGGAGCTGACAAACGTACTTGCTTCCGAAATAATCCATCGATCAGTCCATACATCCGTCTTCTATTCACTTACCCTGGATAGGGTTGTGGGGGCCCTGGATCCTACCCTCAATAGCATAGGTACACCCAGGATAGGACACCAGTATACAGGGCACATATACAAACACAGTCATACATTATGGTCAATTTAGAGACGCCACTTAGCCAGACTCCATGTCTTTGGACTGCTGGACGAAACTGGAGGGCACAAAGGAAATCTGCAGAACACGTTTGCGGAGAGGCTGCAGGTATAACGTCAAACTGTAATTACTAACAGGTAGACTGGTCTCCAACCAGTGGCTTGCTCTCCACACCACCCTTGACAGCGTAGACGTGGAACCGGTATGTGGTGCCAGGTTGGAGGTGGGTAACATCAGCGAAGGTGTTCCGATTTATGGGCAAATTGAAATCCCTCTGTGGGGTGGCATCAGACTCCAGGGGTCTGACGTTCACTCGATAACCAGACACTTCACTGGATGGCGCCGTCCAGGTGATCACGAGCCTTGTGGCAGAGACGGAGTAAAACTGCATGTTGGTTGGGGATTGGACTTCCTCTGAGGGATGGAAACAAAGAGATCCTGTGAGATTTTTCACAGCTCACACATAACAATAATAATGATAATGGATACTTTTATTGCTCCCCGTGGGGGAAATTCTCTTTACGCCTCCCCCAGCTTGCTCTCTGTAGGTGAGCAGACTGGCTGTGAATGGCAGCCACCTGTTGCAATGCCCAGGGAGCTGGGGGTTAAGGGCCTTGATGAAGGACCCACAGATATGGTGATCACAGGCACAGAGGCTGTGTTCTTCATCCATATTTGTAATGTATGAAATCTTTCCCAATATCCTTGCTGCAACTTATGTTAGCTGGCCAGCTTATGGTATGTTTTGTCATGGTTTGATGGTTTAGCTGGTCATACCAGCTTGTGATGGTCATACTAGCTGGTTTAGCTAGTCATAATAGTATGACCAGCTTGATCGGCTGGCCACACCAGTATGACCAATTGGTAACCCACCCAGCTTAGACCATCTCAGACCAGCTATAAACCAGCAAGCTACCTGCATAAGCTGGCTTTTAGCTGATCTTAACAGCAGGGATCTTGAAATGCTGATGTTTGCATTGCTTTATTATGGATAAACTATATCAATAAATATGTAGTCAGTGACCACTGATCAATAGACTGAGCTTGAAACAGTGATAACACATGGCTACAGTTCATTATACTCTTTATTTATTAATTAACCTGCAGTTTACATTTGCACAATATATTTAGAAGTCATGATGGTAAGTCTGTGTTGCAACTGAATTTGCGTTATATTGAATTCAGCTGCACTGTAGCTGAATTTGGCTCTTCTGTAATATTGGACATAATTCATGAACACAGACACAGGCCTCTGTTCTATCGTTGCCACTGTTTTGTTATTCTTGGAGTGCTTTTTTGTCTTCTGTGTTGGAAAACTTTCCTCTGAGAATAAGAGAAATGCTTCTCATTTTCCAAGAATTCAAAAAGGCATTTTGTTTATTTCTTACATGTCGCTGCTCCTTCATCCAATTTCCCATAAAAATAAAACTGGGAGTTTCAAGCCACGATGCTACATACCTAGTATAGGTTCTCCAGTGGTATTGACCTGTACAAAGACTGGGCTGCTCTCCAGGTTCTCCTCCACAGCATAGATGCTGACGTTGTACTGTGACCCGGGTCGCAAGTCACTCAGTGTCACGAAGGTGCTTGTGTTGGGGAGGATGAGCTCTGTGGTGCTGCCCTCCGTCGATGGCGTATAGATCACACGGTACCCTGTACCCGAATGTGCACACACCCACGTTAGTGAGGCAAATCTACAAGTAAACAAACAAACAAGCCCAATGTTTCCACGGAAGCACTTGCCCGTAATGGGAGCCAGTGGTTTAGTCCACCGGATCACAACGGAGGTGTCTTCCACATTTTCCACCACATGGTTAGTCGGAGCATCTGGGGCTGTTGAGGAAAACAGGCCTGTCAGCTTCTGTACAACAAATCTTTCTCAAATAAACAAAAAAAACAGGGAAAAATATGTCAACGATGTTCCAGATCCTGGCTGGAAGATGACCAGCTAATGTTCTGGAAGACGGTTATGTAACCCTGATCGGAAGCACATGGAAAGCCTGACTTGTTTTCACCCTGATCTGCAGAACCAGGTAGATAGGGACCAACCTGTGGTCTGGGACGTGGTTAAGATGACCACCGGCTCTCCGACGGTGGGGACCTCGTACACGTTCACTGTGTACTTGCGGCCAGGGAGCAGGTCACTGAGGCTGACTGACGTAGCCGTGTGGGGCAGCTCTGGAGTAAAGAACACACACAAAGTCAGGACCGTCTGACATCCCGACACAAAACACCCAACAGTACAGGCGGTCTCAGAACTCACTACAATCCTTATCCCACTTCTTTTAGTGTGAACTTTCTTAGGCTTTGAACTCGTTAATGGACTTAGTAGAGAGCACTAAAAAGCACCATACAGACATGTATTCAATGAAGCACATGATCCTTAAAATTTAGTTGGGCTGCAGACAGGTACAGAAAACCTAGGAAGAAGTCATATTTACTTTCTGTTATTGCTCATGTACACATTACATTACAAACAGTTAGAACTGGAATAAAAAAGTTTCACCCTTTGCCAGGAGAGGGCGGCGCATGGACATTTAGCAACACAGTTACTCACCTAACATTTGGGTCTGTGCCCCCTCCTCGCTCAACTCGTACTCCACCCGGAATCCCGATACCGTGTCCGAGGCGGACACCCAGGAAATGACGAAGCTGCTGGATGTGATCTCTGTTACCGACTCCGAAATGTTCACCATCGGCGGGAACTGGGTGTTCTCACCCGCTGTGTTCCCCCCTGTGGAACCAGAGTGCAATGTCCAGTTTACCAACTCATAAAGTATAACCAAATATAGTAAAGCAGCAGTCAAATCATGAGGACAGCGGGCATGTCCCACAGCGAGGGGAGAAGCACACAATACTCACGGATGCTATGGGTGGTGAAGTCAAAGTAGGTGACCTCACGGCGGCCAAAGCGGGTGATGCTGATTAGCTGGCCCTCGTAGACAACGTTTGGCCTGAGTCCAGCAATTGTGTAAGAGTTGAGGTGACCGGGGATATTTACCTCTTTCCAGGCTGTCCTGGTGTTTTTCTGTTGGGGAAAGGAGGACAGCAGTCAGTAGAGAAGTGAATGTACTTAAAACCACAATTTTCACAGGTGGGTACATGGAAACCTGTATATATGATAAAAAGGCATGCTAAGTTCTGGGAGGGAATTCTTTTCTTATCCACTAGTGTAGTGTTTCCCAATCCGGTCCTCCTGGATCCATAGACAGTGCACTTTTTAGGGAGCTGTGAGGGAGCAAAAATGTGGCCTGTCTGGTAGAGAGCTGGGAGGGAGCAAAAATGTGGACCCATTGTAGGTCCCTGAGGAGCGGATTGGAAAACATTGCACTAGGGTATATCCCAACCTCATGTCCCTTTCTGTTACCCCCCCTCCCCGCCCCCACGACTATGTCCAGAAAAATGAACAGAAAACAGAAAGATGGAGAGATGGGAAGCCCTTTACTGTACATCCAAACATTGCTCTTTATCCCAGAGCACAAAGTCTAACAGCTTAAACTAAAGAACAGAATGACGCCCTGTTAAATGTTCATATCTGTGCCCATTAAAAACATTCAAAAGCCAGGATAATTCCCAGAATAGTTTAAGTACAGCTCAGCCTTTGAACAGAAGTCAAGGACTTCAGCCTCTCTAATCTTCTGCTGGGATTCTGTTTGAGGTGAAAACTGGGCAGAAGGACACAGCTCTGTGCATCGTGATTGAACGTGCTGTCCTGACAGTTTTCTGCTCTTTGTACAAATGTACCAATAGATGTTTGCATGGACACTGTAACATTACACAATGACTCACCACACAAAATGCTCACCTGTCTCCATCGGAGGATGTAGTGGGTGATATGTGTGGATGGAGGGGCATTCCACTGGATGGGGTGCGAGTCGGGCTGGCTTCCCGACTCTGTGATGATCACCTGGACGGGACGATGGCTGCCTAGAGGAGGAACACAACCGCACATTTGTTTTCTGAAATCCATTTGTGCTCAGGGAGGTTCCAAATGTCCACAAATGACCGTGTAAATTTAGGGCAGCCATTACAGAAATCCAGTCCAGAGAACATTAGCAGTATGCCAGTCTTCGCTGGAGAGGCCAGCTTTGAAATACACTGCACCAAGTCGGAGTAGAAGCTGGAGGGAGATTTAACACGGCCGTGTGACATTTTTACGAGACAGAGGGAAAGAGAGCGCCCTCCCCTCAGGGTAGGCGCCATCGATACATCACAGGCTGCACGTTTTCTCTTGCCAAGGAAACTATCCTTCGACATTTCAGGAAGTTGGAAAAAGTCAAACGAGTTTCCCTTCCGCCGACAATGTTTTTGCAGTCAATTGCAAACAGAGTTTCTAAAATCACCCCCTTTTTGTGTATGAGAAATCATACCAGGTTATGCTTCTATAGGCTTCACAAGCAGAACAGGGTGGGGCAAAACCACCCTACCACCAGTAAGACGCAGTGCTGGTCTCAATTAAAATCAAAAAAGTCTGTTGCCAGGGTGTGCCGAACAGAGAGTTCCTCTGCTTCCTGGTGAGAGCCCTGAATCGTTCGGCTGAAGAGCTTCATGACATTCAGTCTACAGGACAGAATGCTCTCGCAGCTCTTCCTGTGCAGACTGAAAGAGAAAGTGGGCCCAGTCCTCTGCAGTGGTTATACCAAACAGCGTATTCTGTGTGATTAAACACCAGCCGAGAGGAGACCACTTGTGGAGCACAGGAGTGGGGTCATAAAGCCCTCCCTTGTTCACAAGACCGGCACCCTGCAGACGGCACCAGATGTCTAATAACAACAAACAGTCGGGGGGGGGGGGGGGGGGTGGTCGTGGAGATGAGAGGAGCAAGGCAGAGTGGTGGGTCCTTCTGGTGGAAAAAAAAAACGGCAGCCAAAACATTTCCATTCACTAAAGGAGAACGCTGCTGACCTAATGGCGATTCTGCCCTGGTTACAAAGGGAGTGAATGGCAGGCGGCCAAACACGAGCAGCTCCATAGCCAGCCGTTTGCAGGGCCCGTGGCCCCCAGCACTCACCCGAGTCCTGAGGCTCGCAGCTCAGCTCTCCCAGCCCGTTGCCCTCGCAGTAGCACTTGTAGCGGATGCCGTGGATCATCTTTTCCCAAGAATCGCCGATCTGGTAGAAGACCCTGGTGTCTGGCTCCTGACACTGGTCTGAGGAATAACGGCAAGGGCCTCGATGACAGACTGCAATGGCTGCCCCAGTTTTATTGTGGAGATTAGAAACATGTACAGTAGGAGGTCAAAGTGGACATTCTGCCTATGCTGCTCTTTATAGAACCTCTTCATGAAAAGGTGCACTGAGCAGATATGAGGGAATCCAAAACATATTTTCCCCTTCCTTTTAGTCCAATGGGTTTCTGGGCCAACTTTCCACCATAAAAAAACATACGATTGTAGATGTTTACAATTTCTATACATCTCTTACAACTTATACAATATTAATTACAGTTATGCTGGTTAATTCAATCTTGCATATTATTTCAACTTTCAACTAGCAGAAATCCTCCTGAAAAAGCCACAGTGTGTAATATTCACAAACAAGTGGGTTGTCTGTGACTACAGCTGCAACACTTTTAAAAAAAAAGCAAAGGAATTCAATCAAAGAACCCGACCTCATTGTTGAAGGAACATGAATGGAAGGAAAGGACCCACCTTTAAACATTTAAAGACAATGCAGCTTAAGCAAGAGTGACTTAAACAGCTTTGTTTTTGTAATGTCACGACTCTAAACTGGGAAAAGCTCATGTCGCTGATGGTGATTATAATAGTGCGAGCCTGGAATGCAGACATGGAGAAGGAGAGCTGTGTGCACACTCACCGACGGCATCGCACTTCCAGCGCCCACGGCCTTGGCCAAAGCAGGTGCAGTTCATCATGTAGCCCTCATCATGACGCTTGTTAAACGTCTGGTTCACGTCGTACGTCTGCCCGTCCACGATGCACTGATCTGCAGGACATGGGGGGCAGTGGTGAGTCCTGGTGGGGGCAGAGCCACTGATTCTATCCACAGAATTACCTTCGCGTGGTTAGCCTCACAGTGTTAGCCTAAGGTGTTAGCCCTGTGGGGTTAGCCTTGTGACGTTAGCCTCAGGCTAACCCAGCAGCATTAGCCTTGCAACGTCAGATTCACGGTGTCAGCCCAACGGGGTTATACTTAAGGTGTTAGCCTCTCACCTCTGAGCTGTGAGTAAGCGATGCAGCTCCACTCGCCTCGTCCGTTCCCCAAGCAGGTACATAGCATCATATGACCCAGCACGTCATGCCGCTTGTCCCACTGGTTCCCGACACGGTACATCACGCCCTCACTGGTGGTGCAGACCTCCTCGTCAGCTGTGATGAATCGTACATGATTCTTCAGAGCGGGGAGTCACTTTCAGAGAGTCCAGCTAGCAAAATTGTACGCTGGAATTCAGTCATATGGAGAGCCATCCTTCCTCTAAATGCTCATCCTGGTAAGGGTAATGAGGGAGGGGGGTGCCTGGAGCCCATCATAGGCAGCACAAAGCAGAGCTACACCCTGGACATGGTGCCGGTCTAACACAGTGCACATATACCATCACACAGACTATACACAACTGAATGATGCAAATTAGCCTAACTGTACGTCTTTATGCCGCAGGAGAATTTCAGAGTACTTCCAGAAACCTCCTCATAAACAGTGTGGGCAGGATTCCGACTGAACCACCACACCACCATCTAATGTGAACCTAGATCCTATCACAGAACATAAAGGGCACAAGGCGGGAAAAACAATGAACAGGATGTCAGTCCACGACCAACCAGGGGCGAGTTACAGACAATAACCCAACTATACTGCATTTTGGAGGACTGTGAAGCCGGAGTTCTTGGGGGAAGCCAACGAATACGCAGAATATGATGTTTGTTAAACATCACAGTATTTCCAGTGAGGACAGACTGAGCTGTAGCCACGGGCACGGAGACTAACCGGCCATGGGGCAGAAGCCGAACTTGCGCTCCTCATCGTAGTTGGTGGTTGTGCCGCACCACTTCATGCCATCCCGACGTCCATCAGAGGTGCAATCTGTGTAGTTGCGTCCACTGTACAGGTAAGGGAACTGACAGAGGGCACCATTGGAGTTGCCTCCCCTGGTTTTCATCAGTGCTGTAGACAAAGTGGCTCAGTGGTCATATGGAGGGCAAAAGCAAGGGGTCACATGATATGTTAGCATTATACCGGAAGGCAATGTGCAATGGGAAGGATGGGTAACCCCCTCACCATTCTTCTCCGTACAGTAGGAGAATTTGTGGTCAGACTCATAGTCAGAGGAGGTGCTACACCACAACTGGCCATCAGTGCGTCCATCGGAGGTGCAGGAGTAGTAGGTCTTGCCCATGAACACGAAGGGGAAGACGCAGGGCTGGCCGTTTGAGTTTCCACCATATACCTGATTCTGGCCCTCTACACACACAAAGAGTGACAGGCTCACAAACACAGCAACAGCGACAAAAACTCCAACAGATCTTCATCCATTTTGCTTTGGAATTCAACAAGTTCTAAAAATAAGCAGGTAACCACGTGCCCAGTAAAAACAAAAATAACAGAGTAATTGTGCTTTGCTTCACATGCAGGCAGCGCAAATGCTGCGTCGTGAGAAACAGATCTTCAAAGGCACAGCCCCCCCCTCATTGTGTTGATTTTAGCAGAGGGACCCCCACAAAGGCAAACAGTGAAGGTTTGTACAAAGTCCCATGAGCGGGGGGGGGGACTGAGACCCCAGCAGGACTACTTACCCCACTCATCACAGCTGACACCGTTACCCAGACAGGTACACACCATCTGCTTGCTTCCCTGGGTCTTGATCCAGCGCATGCCCACATAGTAAGAGAGCCCAGACTCTGTCACACATGTGCCTTCGGTGGGTGGCACGGGGTGGGGCACTGGCTGGTAGACGGCCGGCTGAACGTTGGTCACCACGCGGGACCCGGTGCCTAGATCACACAGCAGTCACTCATGAATACACCGGAAAACGCAGTTAAAACCAGCAGTGACTGTGAAAACCTAAGGCCAACTAGCCTGCGTGCAAAGAGGCGAGCTTAAGCCATGCTGGAAGAGCTGCTGGGGAGGGCAAAGGAGGCTCTCACCGAGGCCGGTGTGCAGGGAGGCGTGCCGCTCGCACTTCCACTCCCCGCGCCCGTTACCCATGCACAGGCACTGCAGCACGTTGCCACGGGCGTCAGTCTTAGTCCAAGTGTCACCAATGCGGTAGGACAACCGCGTGTCCTGGTCATTACAGCGGTCTGCAAAGTCATAGTAGAGGATAAGAAGACATCAAATCGACGGTTCTGATGACGTAACCTCAGATCCGATAAGGCTTAAAGGTGACACTGCCTGAGGTTCTGCCTGGAACCTTCCATCCCCACGTTGCCTTGTTCGGAAGGCATTGCCTAACCCCCCCACCCTGAAGGTAGTTCATATTGACTTACCCACCAAGGAATACAAAACATGTTGGGAATGCAGTAGGTCATTTGCGGATTCTACTATCTACGATCCATAAGACATAAAGTCAAATTCATCACGTAGAATGAGGCATGACAGTTCTACAGCAGGGTTATTTTTCTGTTCCTCTGCAACTGCAGAAGGACCAACAGACAGATCTAAAGAAATCGGAGGCAGTGAGGTCATCAGGGCGTAACCAGAAAACTTCCATTTAAAGACAAAACAAGAAATCTGGCGAACGCTCAGAGGAAACGTGTGTTTGGCAGATTCCGCAACATTTCCATTCACTAAGAACCCAAATGAGAGAGGACCTCAGGTGAGAAGTGCATTGTGCAGTGAGTCATTATAAATACAAAGACATTCTTCAAGACATTTGAGCACAAAAATCTCGGCAAAGAGTGGAGACATAAGTCTCTTAAAAAACTGACCCAGAGAATATTTTAGAGGTGGCAATTTACATTAAAGCCAAGCTTTAATGTAACAGCCTTCTTAAATAATGGGAATGGACATATCTCACCAGCCAAAAGAATCTGACAAAAGCTATTCATCCCCCGTCATTAAACTGTTAAGTGTTTGCTTAACCTCTTCCGAAGGGTACAATCCTCATGTCGACATTTATTGATGGCTTTAATGTAAGAGCCATGACTGAGTATTTTACCGAGCGTGAAAAATGTGAAAGTAAAATGAAGTCCTGGTGGAAGAAGGTGGAGTTGCAGTTACAGAAAACTTGCAGTGTTCCTCACAGCTGGAAGGATTGAGAATTCTACACTACGATCTTGAGTGGTGCTCACTGTTCTCCGGCCAAAAGGGTGGTCCTTACTTCTAGAGGTGCAGGTGATGCGGCCATTGCCCTCTCCCAGGCAAGTGCAATCCATCATCATCCATCCCTGATAAGGCTTTTCCCAGGTTTCACCAACAACATAGGATGTGCCCGCCGAGTTGTCATAGCAACGCTCCGCTACAAAGAGAACAGAATATTGATTGTTCAACTTTGGACATGAGAAAATGATAACTGTTCTCTAATTCACCAGTGGAGTAGCTACTGTAGATATTCTGGGCCCCCTGGCAAAATGTCAACTTTTGCCCCCCAATTTTACATATAATTTTGTGATTTCAAGGGGCCCTGTAACATGCTGGTCCCCTTGAATCTGCCAGGGTACCCATGGCCCTGCTGTGCCCCTGTCACACAAACGTAATACTGATTCCTGGAAAGGTATCTATTATTTGTCTGACCATATAGCTATTGCAAATGAAACATTGCAACAGGTCTGTGTTTATCTATGTGTCAGATTTCCTTGGTAGTCTGGGAATACACAGTCCAGTCAATATTTACAAAAAAGTAAAATATTTCCCAGCTTAGCAGAACAGTCTTTCTTAACAGGTCCCCAAAGAACTTTAGGTTACTCAGGGCAGGTGGACCAGCTGGGTAAATTTCATAACCATTTCCTTCCATAAAAAGTCACCTCTACATCACGTCATACCCTTCCTATGTGTGGAACTACTTTGGTAACACTTTACTTAAAGCCGTCAGCTATAATACACTATAGATATCTTCATAAAGCATTATAATGGTAGGTATAAGAATTAATAAAGCATTACAGCATCTTTTACTGAGTCATAAGGCATTGTAGTATCAATTCTAACATTTCATAATCTCCAGTGAAGCTCTTATCTATAATGCACTACATATACCCTCAGGATGCATTATAATGGTTGGTATAAGAATGAATAAAGCAGTAATAAGGCATTGTAGTGTTGATTATAACATTTCATAAGCTCCAATGAAGCTATTGTCTATAATACACCACAGATACCTTCATAATGCATTATAATGATTGGTATAAGAATTAAGCATGCTTTGTATTGCTTATAGTATCTATCTATCTATCTATCTATCTATCGATATCTATAGTGCATTAAAGGTGAGAGCTTCATAAAGAATTCATACTGCATAATAAAACGTGGCTATAATGTGTTACGCCTCTTCATAATTTTTTATAGCCATGTTTATAATGCTTTATGAATACAAAATGATGTGTTTTGAATGTGTTCATAGATTCTTACAGACGTGGCATTCTTAGGAAGTGCTACCACCACATGATATCAATCCTGCTTCTCACCAACAGGCTTGCAGGTCCATTCTCCCTTGCCGTTGCCCAGACAGACACATTCCAGCATGTAGCTTTCCGTTTCATGAAGCCTTCTCCATGTATCACCAATCTTGTAGGAATTCCCATCTTCGTGGCAACGATCTGACAGAAAGAGACAGTCCTTAAAAGCAGTACATCTGAAAATATGGGGCTATACAAACGAGTATGAATTGTGTGTACAGACACACGTGTGCATATTACTCCACTGACTTGCAATCGTGCAGCTAATTTTTCCCCGGTTTGAACCGATACATGTGCAGTCCCAGATCATCCCATCCTTGGGGCGCTCGTAGGTCTCTCCGACGCGATAGGACCGTCCATTTATTTTGTCATAACAGGTCTCTTCAGCTATGAGGAAAAAAAGGCCATAAAGCTGAGAACCAGAAACTTTTGGCAGGACTAGACTTTAAAATGACAAACCTGTAGGAAATCATTCCAAGCTCTTGAAAATTAAATTTGCGTCATTCTTCCAAAAGGACAGAATTTATGATCCAGCAAAGTCTGAGAAAAATTAGATCACACTGGAAATATCCCTCGGTGTAGCATTTGCGATGACTTACAGACTAAGCTGTAACTTGGGTGAGAACCACTTGCATTGACTACAGTTTGCATTGCTGTGATGGAAATGCAAGCTCACCTTCAGGTTTGGTTTTACATTTTATTCCTGCAGCTCCATGACAAGCGCAGAGCAACGTACTGCCCAGATAGGGCCGCTCCCACTGGTCGTTAACTCTATAATATCGACCGTTTTCATCGCATAAGTCTACAGGGAAAAAGTCAATGAAAATAATGAATTGCCATATAGATCTCTATTAAAAAATCTCTCTATAAAATTACTAGAAAATACGAAACTCATATTCATCCATTTCTAAAATCAAAAATAACTACAGGTCGGATGAAGTAGAGGGTGAATTTGCTTAAGTGAACAGCAATAGCCTATTACACAATAACACCCGCGAACACAACAACTTATAATAATAAGAAGAATGTAATGTTCTGCGCATTTGTAACTGGTTAAAACAAAATGAAACAGTACCAAACGGCTTAGTCAGGTCTTTAACTCACCTTGCGATGTATCGGCTACCGGGTAGACCCGTTCTTGCGCTTGCCGTTTGCTTCTGCCCGATCTCTTCGGCATAGAATAGACAGCGCTGCTGAAGCACAGCGCCAGCAGCAGCACGGCCGCTGCACTACCTGTCATTTTGAAAACTGCGGGGGAAATAAGTCGAAAGAACAAAAGCTTAGGGTTTTAAGCGTGGATAAGATTAATAAAAATAAATAAATAAAAATAAAGAGAGAAAGCGGAGAGCTTGTAGTTACGGAGGCTGTCGTAGCTCTTCCTGCCCCAGAGCTGTTTTGGCTGCGTTCCCGACCTGCCTTCCAGCCTCCGCCGTGCAGCCTTACTCAATAGGACTAGCGCAACCCCGAAGAGCGGCTTTATTCCGTGACAAACCCACCGTATGCGGGAGGAGGTCCCTGAGCTACGCGCGTCTTAAACGTCGGTCAATTAAGTTCGACTAGCGAATAAATTAACGTGGGCTTACCATCATTTTTTTTTAAGATCGCGCGTTTTATTTTACTTGTATAAAGCCACAAAAGAAACGCAATCCTTCGCAATATTCCCTAAATTGCTAAAACATACAGTCTGCTGCAATAAAAAACCGGGTGACACATTTAGCCACTTAAACATTTCCATCGGGGTGGCGTAACGCTAACATCTGTCCATCTACCATATACCCATCAATACATCCTCAAACCAATTTTGTAGGAGTGCATGTACTGTATATTAAACATAGATGTTATATTCGATTTTTCTCTGGTATTTAATGGAAGTACTTAATTGCCCCGTTAAATACCCCAGTAACAACTTGGTGGAAAAATGCCACCGGGAAAAAATAAAAATAAAATCTCAGTCTTAGAATATATGTATGAATTTGGGGGGAAATCTAAAGGGGGGAGATAATCTCTCCCTCAGGGAGATAATATTGCAGTATAACTTTTATGTGTGTTTATGTTCTGCTGTACCTCAAATGAGTTATCTGGACAGTAATCCACAAGAACTTGACTGGATTGTATCAGGCATAAATCTGGTGCTAAATGTAATATTCCACTAAACCTGCAAGACTTTATCTCTCAAGGCTGAAGGTTCTGGCATGGCTTTCGTCAGCAAAGGCCTGCATTTTATCTTTTTTTCAGGCATAAATATAAACATTCTTGTTCTGATGAGATACAAACATTCTGTAAAACACGCCATGGAGTAATACTCACTTCTTCTAAGGATACTTTTGCTCTGGTTTTATATATATACACATATTACATCTGTGGATGTTTTCCCATCCTATATATGCCTTTGCAAGGGGCATCCAAGCTTTTCAGTGCTAAATGAATTGCAATATAGTTATGCTCCATGTCAGTCTCACCGAATAAAATTCATAACAGGAGGTTCACTTCAATAGGCTACTGCTTTGTGCTGCAGTTGTGAATAAATTAATACATAAATCATGTCTTTTCTGAATGCTTCAGATCGTTGTACTCCTTATCCACATCACATTTTTTTCAGTCATTATGGGAGTTGTCATGACATCATGCAGGGCAAAAAAACACGGAATGCTGGGTGAATCTAATGGAGAACATACCTCACTGACTTCAGATAGATGAATCCAGAAAAGCGTACATACATCTATTTCACCTAAATGTCCTAAATTCATTTCACCAGTCAGATAAGATAAAGGTAGTATATTTAGTACATTTGTCAATGCATATAGTAGCCAGTTTTCCAGTTTTAGGGTTACAGTGATCTGAGGATCACCGAACATTAGGGTTCATTTTTTTGCAATCTCCAATAAACCTGAATAACATGTTTTTGGGTTGGGGGTGAAACTACAGTTTCCCCAAAAAATTCAGAGAATGTATACAAAGCAAGGCATTGCTACCCACTGAATATGCTACACGAGTGCAGATAGGACATGGCATATATTTCACCCATGTTGATGGATGGGTGACACCAACAGAACCTACAAGGCTTCTGTGGATGAATAATCAATATCAAATAGATATGGAGACTCTGAGTAAATTGAGAGTAAATTGCCCCAGAATCTATCCAGATTCCTAAAAATGCCTTTGATTTATTAAACAAACTGTGTGATTTCCTTAGAGAAGAATGCAAAGGATTCCAAAGAATTCCAAAGGATTTACATAGAAAAGAATCTTAGACTATTCCACCTCGAAATTATAGAGCAGCATCAATATTACAACGATGTGAGAGACTAAATGTTAATATACTGTACACTCAGTGGGCAGTTTTTGAGGTACATCAGATTAATGCGAACAGCCTGCTTCTCCAAACAATGAACCATGTGGCTGCAACTGAATGCATACAGTAAAGAGGTCAAGATGTCTATTTGCTGTTTGGCTCAGCTTTAGAATGGCTAAGATGCACGATCTAAGCTAGTTTGAATGCAGTGTGATTGTTGAAGCCAGAAGTGGTTCCAGCATCTTAGAAACAGCCACCTTCCTGAGATTTTCACATGATAATACAGTGCCTATAATTTACAGAATATGGTGCCATATACAAAAAAACATTCAATTAGCAGCAGGTGGGCAAAAACTATAGGCAAAAACAACTTGTTATTGAGAGCAGTCTGAGGAGAATGGTCAGACTAATTAAAAATAACAGCTCAGGACAACAGTGGTGTTCAGGAATGGCTTCTCTGAACACACAACTGAAACACAGTTCAATAGTGGTTATGGAAGCTGATCCTACCCTTTACTAGCTAGGTACCCTGTAGTAGCTGAATATCCAATAAAGTGTCCATTGGGGTAGTTTTAATTAGGTTGAATATTTGTTATCAATTATGATGAATAAATTATTTAAATACAGTTTAGAACTAGAGTTAAAAGTTTCAATAACTTAGGATTTGAATCTGGATTTGCTACATTAGACCTTGAAAATAATATAGCAGTCAAGAAGATTTTCTATCATGGACTCCGGAAGGAAGTAATATCTCTTTCTTATCAGAAGCCAACACCATATCTGGCAACCCTGCTGAACATGCTGTCCTCAGGACAAGCGGGATGCACATAGAAGCCTATAATCATTGCATCGCTCCCTAAACCTGTGAGCTCATCCCCCAGGGGAGGAGGGTGTGGTGCTGCTACAACCCCCATCAAGTTAATTAGTTTGCCTGCTCTGGACCAGGGCCAGTCCAGCTGGATTTTTTAGCTAGCATACATGTATAAGATTCAATGTCTAAGCCAAAAATACCATCGATCTGAGGAGAAGTGAAGAACCCAGAGTGAGTTTGGATACAGTGTGTTTCTAATTTTTGTACCCAGCAATCTGACTTTGGCTATAAAAGCTCAGAGAAAGAAAGATTATTAAGAGTAAAGTCGAATCGTAGTGGGAGAAGTCCAAATTAACCAAGCTTGCAAAGTTCGTTCTTTAAAGTCCACAAACATCCTGTACTGGTGCACATATTACTCATGGGTAACATTTAAAAATCTAGTAGGGAGTACAAATCAGGCTTGAGATATCCAGGCTTGGTTTTGGTGCAATTTAGTAATATCAGTCCATCTCTAACTTTAATCATTCTGGCAGACTTCCTTTTCCTGGCCATGAAGGCATCCTAAAAAACCACACTGTAATGGGAAATAAAGCATAAAAATAAAAGAAGGGTTACATGCATTCACATATTTACTCTTTAACATGTAATTTACGTGTCATGTATTTGCTTGTATTAATGCAGACATTCTTTGTGGACAGACTTTGCTAAAATAAATGAATTGTGAATATAATCATCTCGATCTGCTGTAACAAGCCAAGGTTAGTCATATTCTGTGCTATTACTGCTTCCATTTTGGGTCTTGCATACTTTTAGGATTCTTTACCTTTAGGATTGTCCTTGTAAATAATAGCCGAGTCCCGACTTATTAAATAACCAGTCTTCAGACATCCTTGGGGTAGGTTTCCTGTGTTTATCATGCAGAATGTGGGTTATTGCTCTGATCCCTGGGACACAGTCTGACTTATTTACTGCAGGACACTGCAAAAGGAGGTCAGTCAACAAATGGGAGGAGTTTATTTGCTGTGTGGGTGGAGACAGGGTGGATGATATTTAAATTTCATGTGCATTAGAAGAGATGGGCAGTGAGACGTCTTGCAATAGATGCAAGAGACAAGCCAGGGAGGTTAAATGGCAAATACATTCACTATACATCTGCACCCTCTACATCCTTAACTGGACTACACCTTTTTCTAGTGTTCATTTATTGTAGTTTTTCAAATAAAGCACAGTTAATAGAAAGGACACCATCGACTAAAATATTTATCCTTTTGTGCTTCTGAGCACTGCATGCAAATTTTCATGTTGAATAAATATTTATGCAAAACTGTTAAACTGATTTAACTCTCTTTGCAACTGTGTGAGCTGGACTCGTGCGTACAATGCTTGCACAAGTATTAATTACACTCACTCTTTAATTACACTCTGAAAGACAGAAGACTCTTACTTCACATTTCGGAAGATTTCAGAAGAAATAATTTCTGTTTTCTCCTGGACCATAATATTCTTTGCAGTCCTCAAAAAACTTGTTTCCAGAAGGAAAATCTGTGAAGTCAGGGAAAGGGCGGTATCCATGGAAACTTGGTGAGAAACAAATGGTGAGGAGTCCAGGAACATAAGTGTTGTAGCACTTTCCCGAACAAGTTAGGACACTGGGAGTACTGGAAGTCATTACTGGTGGAAGCCCATCATAGGAATTGAAATTACATAGAAATAGCAATAGAAAATATTGTTTTGTCTTTTGCTTTTCCCAGGTAGCACAGTGCACAAGGTTGGAGTAAAACGCAGATGGAATGGCAATGCATTACACGGCACAACAATCATGCATTGTAGATTTGACTTGAACCCCCAAAATTACTGGCCACTGAGCCACCATGCTGTGCTATATCTGTGTGTGTGTGTGTTATATATAGATACACATACACACACACACACACACACACACATACATAATGCAATTATGACCCCTAACAATGGAATTTACAATTTACATATTCCAAAGCTTCTTATTAACTTTTTTTTCTTATAGAATATGTTCATAAATAAAGGGTCAATTCCTACTCAGTCCCTCAAAGCTTATGAATTTTACTTAATGGGACCAGATGGAAAGAAGAGACTTTGCCTTAAAACTGTTTCAAAATAATGACCATGACTCTATTCAGAGTACAACGTGATTTCTCTGCTTGATATGGATGTCTGACTTCGGTAGGATGGCATTCTTCCAGAACTCTCTGTCCTCTGTTTGGGTCTTCCAGCTTCCCAAAGAAAGATACACACAAAGACATACATACACACACACACACACACACACACACACATGTAGGGTATACATATCCTTATGGGGACCGCTCATTCATTTCAATGGGAAAAATGCTAACCCTAACTATGACAACCGTAACCCCTACCCTGCCCTAA